TGCCCTGGTCTAGGAAGATCCCACATGCCGCGGAGCGGCTGGGCCCGTGAGCCATGGCCGCTGAGCCTGCGCGTCCGGAGCCTGTGCTCTGCAAGGGGAGAGGCCACAACAGTGAGAGGCCCGCCTACGGCCAAAAAAAAAAAAAAAAAAAGGAGGAGAAAGATTCAAGAGATGTTCCTCCCTCCAAGGATATATATATATATATATATATATTATTTATATACATATATATTATTTATATATATATATGGTATTCACAAGAAAGATATTCCTTCCATGAAATGAGACTAGGATGCCTTGAACAACCATAACAACCACAAAGCAGAGAACAAGAAAGAGCCCTTAGAAATTAAAAATTAAAAACATAACAACAGGGACTTCCCTGGCGGTCCAGGGGTTAAGACCCTGCACTCCCCATGCAGGGGGCATGGGTTTGATCCCTCGTCGGGGAACTAAGACCTCACATGCCACATGGCACGTCCAACAAAACAAAACTAACAACAACTAAAAGTTCAAGAACAAAGTGGGAAGATAAAGTTGAGGAAGTCTCTCAGCAAGCCGACCCAGACAACTAGATAGAAAACAGAGAAAATAAGAAGATAGAAGTCTGAATCCAGACAGTGTAGTATCTAACTAATAGGAATTTCAGAGAGAACAGAGAAAATGGAGAGGCGCAAATTATCAAAGAGCCAATAAGGCAAGATATGCCAGAGCTGAAGGACATGAGTCTCCACGTTTAAAGGACCCAATCAAGTAAAAAAGACCCTCAGTGAGGGACATCATCATGGAATACCAGAGTACTACAGATAAAGCAAAGGGCCTGAGAGCTTCAGGAGGGAGGGGGTAAGGAGGGAGAAAAACCTGTATGATGGATTGAGAATCAGACTTACAATCCTGGGACACTGGAAGCTAGAAATTCTCTCTAATTTCTGAAGGAATATGATTTCCATCCACAAATTATACACCTAGAATAACTTTCCATCAACGCATAAAGCCATCAACATAAAAAGGACAAAGTATTTAGCTCCCATGTCCCCATTCAAATGATGCCTGTGCAGAGGCTTAGAGAGTGGATGTCCAGATTGGAGCAGGAGGCCAAGGGCTCCCAGAGGGAGATTTCCAGAGTAAATAAGGAACTGATGATGGGTGATCTCCTTGTGTGCTTGAGAATCAGGAAAATTTATTGCAAGGAGCTTGGAGCTCCTTGGAGCATTTGGGGGGAAATAACAAACTAAGAATATAGAAAAACAAGGAAAGAAAAATAATAAGACAGCTATCAACAAGAAAAAAATGTAATTATAGTACACTACTTGGCTCAGCAGAGAGTAATATTTACATGGTCAGAATAATATAAATGCTGACCAGTGTCAACCAAAAATTATGATAAAATCATATTGGGAGGATGGAGAGAAGAGAAGTGAGGTGACTGGGGTGGGAGAGAGCCAAAGCTTCATCTAAATTAGGAGGAAGCCATGGGACTTCCCTGGTGGCGCAGTGGTTAAGAATCCGCCTGCTAATGCAGGGGACACAGGTTCGAGCCCTGGTCCGGGAAGATACCACATGCTGTGGAGCCCCTGTGCCACAACTACTGAGGCTGTGCTCTACAGCCCGTGAGCCACAACTACTGAGCGCATGCGCCTAGAGCCCGTGCTCCACAACAAAGAGAAGCCACCGCAATGAGAAGCCTGCACACCACAATGAAGAGTAGCCCCTGCTCTCTGCAACTACAGAAAAGCCCGCGCACAGCAATGAAGACACAACGTAGCCAAAAATAAATAAATAAATTTAATAAATTAGGAGGAAGCCATTTGATGCCTAAAAAAAAAGGTAAATTTAAAGCAGCAGTTTATAATCTCAGTTATGTTTCTCAATTGGAAGTGATTTTGGCCTCAAGGAGACGTGGAAATGTCTGGAGACATTTTTGGTTGTCACAGTGGGGTGGGATTGTTACTGACATCTACTGATGCATTAGTTTCCTATTGTTGCTGTAAAAAAATTACCACAAACACTGGCTTAAAACAACCCAAATTCATTATATTACAGTTCTGGAATTCAGGAATTCAAAATGGGTCTCACTGGGATAAAATCAAGGTGCAGGTGGGCTGCATTCCTCCTGGAGGCTCTAGAGGAGAATCCATTTCCTTGGCTTTTCCAGCTTCTAGGGGGAGCCTGCATCCCATGGCTCGTGGCCCTTCCTCCTTCTGCAAAGCACATCACTTCACCCTCTGTTTCCATTGTCACCATTCCTTCTCTGACTCTTCCTCCCTCCTCCACGCTAAAGAACCCTTGAGATTACATTGGGCTCACCTGGATAATTCAGGGTGCTTTGCTTATATTAAATTCAGTGGATTAGCATCCTCAATTTTATCTGCAACTTTAATTCCCCTTTACCATGTAAAGTAAATATTCACAGGTTCCAGGGATTAGGGCATAGATGTCTTTGGGGAGGGGCTATTTTGCTGCCTACACAAATGAATAAAGGCCAGGGATGCTGCTCAACATCCTACCATGCCAGAACAGCCTTACAAATGCCAACCATGCTGAGGTTGAGAAAATTCCGATCCAAGGTGATAGATGAGTTATTCTGGGGCTTCTGGCTAGGAAGTGGCGTAAAGGAGACCCCTAGGGAGCTGAAATCTTTTCTACCTTGATCTGGGCTGTGGGCACACAAGTGTAGGCATATGTAACAAATGCAATTGTTAAGATGTGCATACTTTACTCAAAGTATCTTATACCTCCTTAAAAAGACCACCCATTTTTAGAGTAGCGGTTAAGTTTATGATTTCAAAATATGGAGGCAAATACTAGGAAAAATAGCTGAAAGAGTTGGAAGTAGTTGCCCCTGGAGGGCAGGATGAGGATGTGAAATGGTGGAACAGAGACAGCTTTATTTTGTCCCTTATACTAGCATTTGACTTATAACGTATATGACCTTGATATTATAAAACATAATAATTTTTAAAATGACAAAACGGAGAGATTTCCACATTTACTGTGTCATTAGGATGGGGTTCCTGTTGGCAGCCAGGCTCTGTGCCTGGGATGGGGGCCATGAGTATGAGGCAGACATGGTCCCAGTCTCTGGAGGGCTTGGTCCAGTGTCAGGGGAGGTGGTGTGCAAATAGTCAGAAGCCATGGTCAGTCAGCTTCTGGAAGGGGCTGTGTGTGGGTGAAAGGAGTGGTGAGCCCCAGAAAGACAAGGCAGCTCTCATGGACCATTAGGGCCACTACCTCCTCTGGCAATAGACTTTGGCTCCAGAGTCCTGGGTGGGGGAGGGCTGGCAGAGACATTTGTCCCTGGGCCCCTGGGGTCAGGGCTAGGTAAAGCACAGAGCCCCTCTTCCTGAGCACCCCAAACTAGGAGCCACCAGGGACCATCAAGTTGTTCTGTGCTTTTCTCCCTTACCCAGCCCTGGGCTCCCTCCCTGCCTGCCTTCCACACACCTCCAGCTGACAGGCAGCCGCCCTGCTCTGTCCTAATGTGGCCTTCATCCTTCACCTGCACCCTGACATTTTCACTCCCTCTGGTTCGCAGTCATAAACAAGCGGGAGGGATTGCCGGTATTTAAACTTCAGACACCAAACGTATCATCGTGCAGAGCATTTTTTTCTTTGCTCAACGCTGCGTTTTCAGATTTACCATGCTGCTAATTGTAGTTCTCTTAAATTTTCCAACTGCGCAGAAACGTCCATTACAGCATAGGCCATGATTGATCAGATTTCACATCGATGACGTTCTCCCTGCAGAAGCTCCCTGTCTGCCCAGGCTGCAGTCCTCTGCATCCCCTTATTAGGGAGGGGACAGCAGCACCAGGGGACCCTGGCAGCCCGCTTGTGCCATACTGCCCGCCCACCAAGCACTCCAGGCAGCTCTCAGGGGCCCCAGAAGAGTGAGGCAGAGGTGGGAGGGGGCAGCTTTCCACTCGGCCCACTGGTCCCTTCGGTCCTCCAGGCCCTTCCAGGTGTGCAGGTGGCTTCCTCTGTACCCCCTCCCTGCCTGGTCCCAGTGCTGTCACCCCTCCATCAAAGGGATTTCTCTGACAATTTAGGGGACTAGGCAGCCGCTAGAACAGCAACAGCAATTAGATGGTAGCCACGCCATTTATAGAGCGCCTACTGTGTGCCAGGCACAGTGTCAAGATGTCAAGGCCCAGCCTGGATTTTTTTTTTTTTAATATTTATTTATTTATTTAGGCTGCGCCAGGTCTTAGTTTCACATGCGGACTTCTTAGTTGTGGCATGCATGTGGGATCTAGTTCCCTGATCAGGGACTGAACCTAGGCTCCCTGCATTGGGAGCGTGGAGTCTTACCCACTGGACCACCAGGGAAGTCCCCCAGCCTGAATTTCTTTTCTTTTTTTTAAAAAATTATTTTATTATATTTTTATTTTTGGCTGCATTGGATCTTTGTTGCTGAGTGCAGGCTTTCTCTAGTTGGCGAGTGGGGGGTTGTGGTGCGTGGGCTTCTCATTGCGGTGGTTTCTCTCATTGCAGAGCATGGGCTCTAGGCGCCCAGGCTTCAGTTGTGGCTCATGGGCTCAGTAGTTGTGACTCACAGGCTGTAGAGCACAGGCTCAGTAGTTGTGGGGCACGGGCTCAGTTGCTCTGAGGCATGTGGGATCTTCCCGGACCAGAGATCGAACCCTTGTCCCCTGCATTGTCAGGCAGATTCTTAATCACTGCACCACTAGGGAAGTCCCAGCCTGTATTTTTAATACTCACAGCAAGCTGACCGGGATTATCCCCAGTTTACAAATGAGGAAACTGAGGCAGAAGAGGTTGAGGCACTTACCCCTCCCCCCACACCCACCACCATCAAGCCTGGGTCACTGGGCTCCAGGACACATTTCTCAGCAGCTCTGCAGGGCCTTTGTGGGGAGAGCTGCTGCTGCTGCTGCTTCTAGAGCTCCCCAGGGGATTACCAGAATCTCTCTGCCCCTCATGCCTCAGAAGCAGGCACCGTCCTCGGCACCCCTCAGCCCCTCTGTTCCTCTTCCAACATGCAGGTCTGAGAGGAAGGACAGACTCAGACTGTGTTCCCCCATGCCCCCGGGATCACCCCTCCTTTTTGCTGAAGAGACAGGCGGAGGGGGATGGGAGGTTTCCATTGAGCACTGCAGCTGGGGTCCCCAAACTGGAACTCTCAAGCTGGGGGTCTAGGTTGGGCCCCACTCCCCCTAGTGCTTACCCAACAGGTGACCTGGAACAAGTCAATTTTCCCCATGCCTTAGTTTCTTCATTGGTAGATGGAATCAATAATTGTCCCACGTTGTGGCATTGTTTGGAGATCAAAATAAGATATTTCAGGATCCTTGGTGTCTGGGATCTAGAAGGTGCCCCGTGAGTGGTGCGGTTGCTGGGGGGTGGGGTGAGGTGTGATTATTTTGAGGGCTGCATCCTCCCTGGTTTAGGACTCAGGCAAGAATGGGTCAGGCCCTGTCCTCTGGAAGGGGGCTATTAAGCCCAGGCAGGCACAGAGGGATACTCTGGGAGACTATTCAGAGAAGGGCTATCTAAGCAGGATCCTGAAGGATGAGTAGGAGTTTGCCAGATTGAAAAGGATGGGATGTCCCAGGCACAGAAGCACAGAGGTGGGCAAACTCATGGGTTGTTGGGTATGGCAAGTGAATTGACACTGCCCTGGCCAGAGAAAGTGGTTTTGGGGGGGATCATAACCAAAGAGGAGGCTGGAAGACTGCAGAGCTTATCCTTCCCAGGCAGTATGAGGGGCTGACTCTTTATTCTGGGAGCCTAACCTAACCACTGTTTCAGAGAGGGTTTGATGCGGCCAAACTTGCAGTTGCAAGCATCCATCCAGCTGCAGCTGGGAAGTGGGTTGTTGGGGAGAAGCTAGGGGTTAGGGAGGAGAGGAATGGGTGTGGGAACAGATTTGATAGCTGTGTTAGGCGAGGACAGGGAACAACCCTCCAGGGGGAACATACACAGAGGGGTCTTGAGTGGTGCAGAGGGCCCCCACCAATCAATCAGCTCTCCTGCTTTACCCCAGTAGGGCTCTGCCGGCCTCCCTGTCTTTGCTCTGCTTGTGCCCCACCTGCAAGAGCTCTGGCTCAGGGAACATCCTGTCCCCCCATCCCTATGCCTGGAAGTTCCTCTCTTTAGGGGGAAGAGGCAGAGGGGGGCTAAAAGAGGGGAGCAGGGGAGCCCCAAGCAGAGCGTCAAGATGAATTCTACATAGAGGCCCACTCAGCGAGGGTGCTTCAGTAACACACGTCCCTGCCTCGCAGCCTGGGCTCCTCCTCTCACTTCATCCCTCCCCCTACCCTTGGGGAGCCCCTCAGGTACCGCGGGGGCGAGCAGGGGCGGGGCCACCGAGCAGTTATAGCTGGACCCACCCGCACCAAGTCCTAGCCTGTAGCCTCCCGCACTCCAGCTTCCCGACACTGCGCGCCCAGACACGACTGAGCCAGTTTCTGGTCCGCCCTCCGGGCAGCGGTCAACGTGAGCACCCTGGCGCGGGGCACGGGGGTGCGGAGCCCCGGGCGGGGGCCCACTGCGAGCCGCTGGCTGATCGCATTGCTGTTGCTGCTGTTGCTGGTGCCGCTGCCCGCCGCCGCCTGGTACAAGCACGTGTCGAGTCCCCGTTACCACACGGTGGGCCGCGCCGCGGGCCTGCTAATGGGGCTGCGCCGCTCGCCCTACGTGTGGCGCCGCGCACTGCTACCGGCTGCCGGGCCCCTTGCCTGGGACGGCTTCGGCCTGGGCGTGTCCCCCCAGGGGCCATCTGCCAGAAGCACCGTCTCTGGGGGGCCCGCCGCCCGCGATGCTCTGTTGCTTCCCTCCGGAGTTCAGAAACTGTGGGAGGTGCGACGCAGAAGCTCCCGCGCAGGGCTCCCGGTGAGTGCGCCTCGCAGCCTGCGCGCCCCAAAGTCCGCGCCCCAACCGGAGCTGCGGCTGGGATCCTACTCCTGGACCTCTGAAGAGCAGGCCAGGTACGCGGGGAGAGGAAGGGGACGGGGACAGCAGTGGACGAGGGTGTCTCGGGAGATCTGAGACCGGAGCAAACGTCTGCCTGCCCACAGGGCACCCTACAACCTTTCCATCCCCGACTCCCAGTAGAGGAAGGCTTTCCTGGGGCAGTCCCTACTCTTCCAGCCTGGGGAGGCAGGGGAGCGGTAGTGGAGGTCGCACAACCCTCTTCCCACGGTCCTCTCTGTTCTTTCCAGAGCCTTCGGAGTGTCTCCTGCTCAGTCATGGTCTGCGCAGGGAACCGCCTTCGCCAGCCCCCGCCTCTCCCCAGAGCCGTCTTGATCGCAGCCCCTGCCCGCGCCCCCACGCCTGACGCAGGCGGAGCCAGCAGGCCGGCCATCTGGTCAATAAAACCTGCCTAGTTGCCGCGCCCCGGTGTTTGACCCTTTTCCTCCGCGATGTGTACTTTGCATCTAGCTTCGGGGCGCAAACAGCCGCGCCCACGCCCTGGCAAATGTCAGGAGCCCTCCAGCTGGCCCGGGCAAGCTCCCCCCAACAGCCGAGATCTGTGTGTCCTTGCGGGGCAGAATGGGGGACGGAGGCAGACTCTGCTGGGGGCTGGGTCCCCTTCTCCCTTCTCTGCCAGTGCTGCTCCTCCTGTTAGGGTGTGAGGTCATTAGACCAGGTCCCAGGGTCCCCCAGGAGGGGAGGGGTATCCCACGGTGGGGGAGGGCAGTCAGACCCTGGGTCCTGCTGCCACTTACCAAGGTGTGCAGGAGGAGGAGAGCAGTAGCTCACACCCTCCGCGCTGAGCTGGAGCCCCTACTCCAGCCTCCTAGGAGGCCCACAGGAGGTCCCCTCACTATGCCCCCTGGCCAGCATGGGGAGAATGTCCTCCCCAAGGGGGTGGGACCTTAAGACCTGGCAGCCCATCCAGTCTTTTCCCCATCTCCCAGAATTCATTTCAAACCCGGATCTCCTTGGAACCCCTCCCTCCCCTCAGCCAAGGGCTTCCAGAGACAAAGTGGGAAACACCTGGCCCCCTTCTTCATCGCTATGGCCGTGATCTCTCCCTAGGGAGGAAGGGTCCCTCCACCTGAGACCCCCTTTCCTCCTCAGGAACCCCTCCACTTCTTATCCTCTTCTGCATTGCCAGTTATTGTCTCCAGTCCCCCCATATAAATGTGCTCTGCCATCTTGAATAGCAAGGACCTCCCTCCACCTGGGTCCCCTTCCAGTGCCCCCCTCACTCCACCCTTCTGCTCCCCCTTCAACCCTCTTCAGTGTGGTCTCAGACTCCCACAACTGTCCTGGACCTCGAAGTGCCTGGTCACTGTGCCCTGATGCTGTCTGCCCTTCTAGTCCTCCCTTGGCCATGTGGCAAGGCTGCCCTTGGGGCACCCAGCAAGGACAGGGGAGGGGTGGCCTCATGTCTGTCTAGCTCTTGGTTTTGGGGTGCCCACATGGAGCCAGCTTCCACACTAACCTCCTTGGCCTCTGGAAGCACCCTCTGGAGGCCTCTTCCCACTGGCAATTTCCTCTCATCTCCTGGGTGCATCTTTCTTCCACATGGTCTGCTAATATGGGTACTCTGTTTTACTCCACCCTTCCAATTCTTACGGACTCCAGAATTTATTTACTCCGATTCCACTCAGTATTTTTTTCTTCTAGGATCTGCGCTGGGGGAAGTCACAGACCACTGAGGTCAACCTCCTCTCCCCCAACTCCACCAGTGCTCTCGCCCCTGCTCCTCACTGAACTTGGACTTTCAAAACATGGGTGTCCTGACCTTGTCACCCCCAGTCCACAACACCTCAAGGGCTCCCACCACCCATGCAATGAAATCCATGCTCTGAGGCCGGGCCCTGTTCCACAGTCTCATTCCTCCCTCCCCTTCCCCACACAGCCTGCAGGAACTCTAGGCAGATTCCAGAACAGCCCTGTGGTTCACCCTGCCTGAGGACTCCAGGGCCCCAGGCCAGGTTAAATGTTAAATGCCCCTCCTGGAGGCTGCCCCAGCCCTGGGCTTCCCCTTGCCAAGGTACACAAATCTGTTTCCCTGGGTCTCAGTGATGTTTCCCCAGTGCTCGCCAGGGCCTGGCACCAAGTGGCCTGCAAATGTTTGGTCACAAGTGCTGGAACACTCGGTGAGGGGCTAGATTTCATGGTGCCTGAAGATACCCCAGTCCAGAGAGGTTGGTGCCAGATTCAAGACGAGAAAGCAGAGCCTGTTAGGAGCTCAGCAGAGGCCCAGCTTCTCTGCTACCACCCCCATGGCGCTCCTATGCTCCTGCAGTGCAAGCAGCCCTAGGGCGCAGGTGTCACTCCAATCCCCCACTCGGCAGGGCTGGACCAGTCAGAGACAAGAGAGGTGGAACCTAGGGCAGCTCCCCGGACGATGTAATCCCACTCATCGCCGGCAGGAGGCGCTGCGCGGCCGCTCTCCCGGCTACAGTCGCACTCCGCTCCTCTGGCGATGGGAGGAGATAGGCGGGGCCATCCCAGGGTGGGCGGGGCAGTCCACCTGGGAGTCCTTGACCACGGGCCTTATGCACTTCCGCACTCTTCGATCCTCGAAGCCTCTCCAATTCTCTCTCCCTCTCATCTCTGGGTCTCTTGTTCTCATCTCTCTTCCCGTTGTGCTGGTCCCGCCTGCTCCAATATGGGGCTCTGAAGAGAGGCCTGGCGAAGTCTAAAGGAAAGGGTCGTAAGCGACGCCTGGTCATCGCGCGAGGCCCTTAATGCCTATTAGGGAGGGGGCTCCGGCCCTTCTTCGGGTGACAAGGCCTCTGCTCATGGCCACACCAAAAGAGTCTCTGCCCAGACCCAGGCTCTGCCCCATCTCCGCAGGGAGGTAGGTTCAAAGGTCAGAGGAAACCCCCTCCCCCCAAACAGGAGCACAGGACAATCCTACACCAGGTGGACCTAGGGGAGAGAAGGACTGGAAGATCTGACATACTTCCTCTCCCTCTGTCGCATCCCAGCGGACCAGGATGGCAGGAGTGGGGTGACCACAGGAGCGTGAGGGGGTGGGGGTCACCCAGACCTCTGCTCACCTGCAACCTGCCTGCCTTCCCGCCTGCTGCTGGCCTCGTGCTCACCTCCCCCAGCCCCTCCCCAGCGACCCAAACAGCTTCCAGCCCAAACACCTTTCAGTGCACACTTCCGGGCCGCTGCCCAGGCTTCTCTCTTCCCTTTGCTGCCTGGCCTCTCTCTTCTCGCACCTCCGCACAGTGCGGCTGAAGGAAGAGGCCTGGGAGAGTTTGGCCAGAGAGCTGCTGGGTCACCTTGCTTCACCTCTGTCACCCCAGGCGCTCCGTACTCACCCTGTTCCCTCTCACTCACTCCTGCTCTCCCTTCGGAGTGGTTCCCTGCTGCCTTTATTCTGTTGCTTTTATCCACTTCCTTTGCTACCTGTCCCCTTTGTTACTCTGATGTTGGCTTTGTTACTCTGCTAACCTTTCTTGGTACCTCCTTGGCTTCTCTTTTGCTTTGGGGCCTCCTTTGTTATTCTGGGGCGCAGTGTTCCTGGCCCCTGGCTGTGACCACATCTCTTGGTTACCCCACCCTCCAGTGGTGTTCTGTTCCCATCCATCTTCACTCACAGGCTGAGTCCTGGGCTGCAGAAGGCTGATCTGGGAGTGTCTGTTCTACAGAAGGGGAAGAGGTCTCCAAGCCTCCTGACCCAAGGGATCAGGGGTCCCTACTTTCCCTTCCCCTTGGTCTGGGGGGTCTCCGCTCCAGCCACCTCCCTCGTCTCTGGTATGGCCTCAAAGCTATAGCATGGCAGGTCCTGGGTGGTCCTGGTTGCTATAGGGTGACCCCTAAACCCCACCTGGGGTGGCATATGGTGGACCCCACTGTCCATACCCACCCTCACTGCCTCTGGGGACAGCAGTACCAGGTTGGGTTCAGGGAGGCCAGTCACAGGCCAGACAGGCAGCCTCTGGAGAGACAGACAGACAGATGGAGGTGGCTAGCCAGGCAGCAGCCTATGGCAGCATCATCCAGGGGATGGGGGAGCAGCCTTGTCGCTTCAGCCTAAGTGGCTTTTAGGGACAGCAGCTGGGGTGTGGACACCCAAGAGGCTGTGGCCCAGGAGGCTGCCTAGAGGCAGGCCCTGTCCTTGGGCCGGGGCTATGAGCCCAGGCTGCAGGCACTGGCAAGGGAAGAAGGAGCAGCAGGGACTGGGCCTGAGCACAGCCTGCTTTTCCCCTCATGGGGAACTGTCTGGGCTGGCTGTGCCTGACCCCTGGGGGCCAGGTATGTGCAGGGTGCTGAGCAGGGCTGGGGAGGGGCAGGTTGAGGGTGAGCCTGCAGCTCAGCTGTCTTCCTGTATGTGTGACTGAGAAAGCTGAAGAGGGTGGACTTGGGATCTCACCACCCTGGGCCCAAGGGGAACTGGGGAAACTTGCATGGGTCTCTTCCCTCTCCAGACCTGTTTCCTGATCTGTAAAATGGCCTGAGACCCCTAGGTTTGTTCCAGGTAAAATGTACTCAGAGAGGTACACAAAGAATAAATGACTGTCCATCGGTTGGGAGAAGGGGGCATTCATGCTGGTGGAGGTGGAGGGAGGGGAGGGGAGGAAGAGCTGGGGTGCAGGAGGGGCCTGCTCAAGGGAGCAGCTCCCGTGAATGCTGACTGGCTAGTGCTCAGAGGCCCAAGCCGTCAGCACATTTCATCCTAGGTCAGGAGGAGGGTAGCAAAGACCCCTTCCTTCCAGCCGGACAAGTGCATGTCATTCCCTCACCCTTTGCAGTCACCCACCAGGCCTGGGATGGGCAGGGACAGGAGTGAGGGGTCCTGGCAAAGGGAGGGGATGGTGGTGGGGAATGCTTAATGGTCCAACGTAGCACAGATAGGCACAATCACTCCTGGGCAGGGCCAGGAAGTCACTCAGTCACTGGCCTACAGGATATAGGAAGGGGCTGCTGCCTTCTCAGTTTCAAATCCCTCTTTTTGCCTCCTGGACCATCCTGGGACTCTGTGCTGGGTCAGGGAAGCTCTGGGTTGCAGGAGGGATTCTGATACAGGAACGGTGCATGGGAGGGGAGAGGGGGGAGGGGTAGGGGGGTTCCCGAGGAGGGTGGGCAGAGCCATGGCCATTGTTCTTACCCTCGGGCCCCTGTATAGGGGTTCCTCAGTCTAAGGATCCTTTCTCCACCCCCTTCCCGCCTCAGGGGCCTGCCTTGATACCCCTGCTGCTCATACAGTAGGTGCTCAATAAATGTTACTGGCATAGGAGGCAAAGGCGCTGGCGCCAAGAAGGCTGCCCAGAATGGGGGCGAGACAGAGGGGTCCTGGTGATTCGGGGGTCCCCTGACGCCTCCCCCGGGGCCTC